GAGAAAGCTTTTGATGTGGTTTATCGCATCCCAATCAATCGCTCAAGGGCAGCCCGAGTTTGGACACTAGCTATGGCCGCGGCGATCGTCATTCGCTTACTGGGCCCCGACCTGTGTGCCCAAAAGCGATTGGTGCAGGAACTCCAATTGCCTTGGCCGTGTGTGAAGATCGCGACGGAACATGATGTGTCACTTGACCCAAGTGGGGAAAGGTCACATCAACTAACACGGTAAACTTTCCTACACACACACAAGCAAAAAAACACCGATTACTCTCTACCTCCGAATATTGACTTTAAATGAGCCAATGGCTATGATTATGTAAGCATTTTTTCCACTATATGATATGTAAGACCATGACTAGGAATATCCGAAAACAATTGTTCGCTCACCGACTCGTTTTCCCAATTTCTCTATCGGTTGTGCTTCACCGGTATAAGCTACTTTCGATTTTAATTGGGATATGTTCCTACTACCTTGCGTAGTCCCCACTTTGCTTCCTGCGAAATATTGTATGTTTACAATATTTGTCCCAAATGAAACAAAAGTGAAAGTTGTGAATATAGCATAAGAGGAGAGAACAGGTTGTTGAAATTTATTTCTCCGGACACATTTTGCTCATTATAACACATCTGACAGCTGCAAAATGAAACGAACCGGTTTTTCTAATATTCTGTGGTCATCACCGAGTGTGTTTGAGTATGGTCAACTTGTACAAGGACATCCAACGATGGAAAAAGTTGATGAGTTGCTCGCTTGAGATGACAAATCCTTGTTTGCGTTTTCAGTGTTCCGTAAACTGGAGTAGGAAGAGCTCTAAATTTCCACGGACTCTTGAATATGATATCGATTGCCACGACCTTTTATGTGGATAGGACTTCGAATCGATGACTGAGGTACACTATGCCGCTGATAACGCGTTGAACGGTAAAGCGATTGGGGTCGACGAGAAATTTCATCGGATCGTTCCACGGTGGTTGGATAGGATAAAGTTCGGGAACGGACGTAAACACCTGGACGGACACTGTCAGTGCGACTTGACTTTCTGTGCGCATTCACTTCAACCGTCACCCGACGACCAGATATCAGAGGGCTTTCTTCTTCAGTCATAATGCTTTGTGTCCTTCGAGCTGGTAGAACTAACTTTTCTAAGCCACCAAGGCTTGTGCTTCGACTGACAATTAAACTCGTAGTAGAGTGGACATACGAGTGGAAAGGTGGAAGGCTTCCTTTTTCGCAACTGTCAGGCCATTGCATAAAGAACGTTGGACCTAGATTGTTAACTTAACGATTGGAAAAGAGATGAAAAATAGGCATGACATCCAATACTCAATAACTTGCATAAAAGAAAAGTAGTTAATCTAGTATATCAAAAAGTTGCCCAGAGGCTTGATGAATTTAGATAGATATAGAATTAAGGAGTAGAGAAAACTCTAAATGACTTGGTGTAACTTCAAGTGGACACTGGTATAATTTTCACAAAATTCTATATTGGCTAATAAATCGAGTGGAATTTCTTGCTTCTCTCGTAATTTGTCCAAGTAAACATATTTTACATTTTTTATTGCGGTGCCTATAAATTAACGCAACATGATTCGTGACCTTCCGTATCAATGCGCTCTGATATTCCTACTCGTTTTGCATGTTTCTGGGCAAAGCCAATGTGTATTTCCCCACTCACAGTCTGCGTTGTGCTCTTTCCGGGAATCAACTATAGCTTTTGTGACATGAGATAAGTTAATCACATCCAATCCAATCACTGTGCTCCTAGTTCTCGGTCAGGGTATTTTACTGTAAATATACCGATTGTCTTCTGCCTGACTACTTAGCCAGAACACGCACACCTTAATCATCAGTCAGTTACTGATATTTACATCTCAAACGGAGGTTCAGAGTTTGTTGCATTCGTTAACAGGATAAAACTACAGAGTAATTTCTAGTCAGAGCTGATCAATAAACAATGAATAATCTCGTGTGAAGTTTCGGGTGATGCTGGAGCAAAATGAATTGATTCATCGATGAGAGAAAACTTTAACATATTAGACTATAGATGACAGGTGAAATAACACAAATATTTGTAAAATATGAGTGGGAAAATGGTAAAGATGTAAAGCCCAGTACACCGCACGCCAGGTGACAATCAGTTTTANCACGCCAGGTGACAATCAGTTTTAACCCGCTCAATGCAAACCACGGGTTTCAAACCAGTTACTCATTATTACGAATAGCATAATAACCTCTAGGTCACGGTTTCCTGGATTATTTTTCCGATTGGTGGTTTCTAAATTTTGAAGTTTGTAATGCTGACAAAAAAGTCGATTTTATATTTTTAATCGCTGCCCGGCATTGAATTACTATTCAGAACAGCCCTTTCGATTGACTGCGATTAGTTATAAAAGAGTTTCGCCTACTTTTTAGTTAGTGTTTTTTTGGTACGAATATGCATAAAATATTTTAGCAATAAAAAATAAAATATTTATATCTAAACACTCGTTACTGACTTGACCCGTGATAAATTTTCTTCCTTACCTTTCAAACTAGTTGAATATACAACATCATGGTCAATTTTTATGAAGGGGTTATCTTCGACGAATAGCACTTGCCTGATTGTACATGGACTGTAAAATTTGGGATTTTGGTGATGATGAAATTCGAATACGCTCCGCGTGAGCTAATGAAATGGTGACCTATATGACTTTCTCATCGCGGTTCAGCCCGTTGCTTTGGTGCCTTACTGATGTGGAATGATGGTTTCGTAGATTTTACCTCCTATTGAGAAGTTCGATCAGTATTTATCCTATCAAATTTTGTCTCTTTCGTCCTCAATATAATAGAAATTCCAAATCGCTTACTGTAGCTTTGTTTACATTTTTAAATAGAAACGCTTTTACCTTCGTTAATTGATCTAAATGTTCTATTTCTGATAGTCTGGATAGCACTGGCACTCCTACGTTCACCGTTCAGCTAAGAAATATAAGAAAACTATATACTATACCATTTCTCGAGAATCTTGCAATAATTAGATTTGTTTAGTTTTCGCTATCTACATTTTAAATAAAACGTGAACAGTCGGTAGAATTTTCTAGTGTTATGTGGTTCGTTGCATGCTAAGTGAAACAATTATCATAAGCAGGTGGGACCTTAAATGATTCTTCATTTTGTATTTTTCCAAACTTATCTGGATTTAGACCTATCAAATACATTTACGAGTTTTGAAGGGTTATCAGTCTGCCGTTTTACCTTCTAGTTGATGGATCCTATACGGTATATCAATCCAGTACGATAAATATTCCGGTCGCATCATTAGCTACAGAATAGGTTTCGTCGCGCGCAAATAAAACGACACATGAACTGTAAAACTGAGTAGAGCTATAGTGTGGTTTCAAGTCTGTTACGCATCATCAACTGTGAAAATCCATCGAACCAATTGTGAATCCTGTCTACTTGACCGCCCTATCCATACAGGATACATCACAGCGGATTGCAAGCAACTCAGTTCGTCCAGCTTAATCCTAGGCCCCGGGGAATTGCGAACAAGTAGTGAATATTCCAAGCGTGACCAATGCAAGACAAAGAGTAATGAATGATTTAATCTAATTGCAGAATTATTTTGCCGCATATTGAGCTGGGGAAATGTTAACTTAAAAGCTCGGACTAAGCACGAGCTTGTGCTAATCTCCTGATTGATGTATCTATATATATATATATGTATATATATATATATATATGTATATATATATATATATACATCGAGTTAGACAATTTAGAGGAATATGGAAAGGAAAAAACACCGGATGGTGTAGAGCATTCTTTGAAAGTGTACATCATGAGAATCTTTATCACTCATTTCAAATTAACTTGGTTGACAATCCCTATGAGACACTCAGCTTTCGAAAATGAGACAATGAATCAGGCCTAAACGACGTTAGCAAAGTGATGTTGTTAGTGCGAATGCGGTAAGATGTTGGTCATTGTTGTGGAACATAAAACTTCAATGATCAACTTTTGGGTGCGTTCATTATTTTATCTTTTCACTCACCTATCCATCTCAAAAGGCTTTTATACCAAGGTGCTGTTAATGATATTTACACCTAACAAATCCATTTTTACCTATAGATACATCATCCTAAATGTCTTGTGATTATATTTCAATATGTTATATGTCCGCATTAACTTTCGTGTCTACGTAATTTCAGTGAACCCCACTGGTACCAAAAACGTGACTCGACCATACTAATACTAATTTTATCAACTTGTTTAATGTTTCGATAGAAGATGAACATCATTACCTTCGGTGGTCACCGTGTGGGAATACAAATGAACACAGAAACATCCAAAACTAAGTGTGAGAATTCTGATAAGTTTGATAAATCTGAACCCATTAATATGAAATGACTGAAACATAATCGAAACACTGCTGACCAAATACCCCAAAACAACTTCATCTACATTCGAAGGATGACTTCAGTAATAAACAGTGCCCTAGAAAGATGCTTCGACATCGTTAAGCTCAATGCGCGACAGTTCAGAGTCGTTGACACATTTGGTCGCTGCTGGAATTCACATCAACACACAGTGCATTTTCGCTCTGGTCACTTAAAACATTTGCTTGGATAACGTTGTCTGATTTACCTCGTTTTGCTCGTTGTACGTGGTGTGGTTCACTGCAAACATCTTGTGCTTTCGACTTTACCTCTCTCAGTCTTAATCAGCGCCAAAATACAGGACGCCCTCCACTCCCCTTGGGAGGGGTGGGGTTTCCAAACCCCCACTACATCTCTACCTCGGTTGTACTTGGCAATTGTGATTACTTGTAAAAGAGAATGGATGTCTCTTGTTTCACCTGACACTGTACTGCTTGCACACGATATTGCACGTGGTAAGATTCCACATCGGTGTCTCCCGCAGAGCGCGCTCTGTCTGTTGGTAGATCATACGTATCATAGATCAATTATATTCCTCCAAAATGAATAAAACGACAGTGAAATTGATTTTAATGTTTTATGGTTTAGGGCTCACATACAGAATGATATACGAGAAGTGTCAGTTGGGAATAGTGAACCGTTTATTCTACAAAATGCAGAAGAGATTTTGAAAAAGACAACTTATGTTTCATAACTTTATTTAAACAAACCTGGAACAGGTTTGATTGGATCTACCATGTTTAATTGTGGGTATGGAGTAACATTGGAGCCTGTTTAGCAAATTCGCGACGGATTACAGTATTGTTAGCCACATGAAGTTGGCGCAGTACACGAAATATTGACCAGCTTTCGAATAGTTCCGGAAAATGACTTTAGGAATGAAGACTTCATCAATATCGCCTGATGGATTATGAGAAACATTCTATCACAGGCGAAAATGAATCACAAAGTTATCGATAAGACAAAGAAGTTTCCTCAGCATGCGATTCTTCATCTCAGATCCTCACGGTTGGGAATAACTGAACCAGTCAATCTTTCCTCAAGTTCAATCTCATTTCTGTGGGTCATAGTTTAAAACAAACTGGATAACTGAACAAGAAGTGATGGGTAAAAGGAATTAATGAGGTCCATAAAACAGTGAGCAATTTCTTCTCTATTGAGAACCGTTAGAAGCTCAAACTGGTTCAAGTCGCTGATGGATCGAAGAAAGACCATGACAAGATATTTGTTTGTTGCCACCAATGATTTTCCTTGATGATTATTAGACATCGTTGGTACATGATTCTTAATTTGGAATTAGCAGGTCAACGAATCACACCGTTTTCCGAAAGCGGTTACATTCCTGTTTAAACTTATCAGTGGAGGATAAATTTTCTGCCCTTTGGGTTTCGAACAGCGAAACGGTCAGACGGAGATCAGTAGCCTCAAACCTAACCTAATCTTCTCTCTAAAGGTCTCCCCCCCAGCAAGTTCATGAGGACTGGGACCCAATAATTTACAGTTTTCCTGAGCAGCAAAAAGAAGCATCATGATCACAGGATGTGTTAAAGTCAACTATTCGGTGGTAATCTCATCAGCTGTGTACATACATTCAGATCACGTTTGGTTAAAAGAGTGACAGGTTTGGGGATAGGCGAATACACGTGGGGAAGAGAAATCAATCAATACGGACGGAGACCAAAGGTCATTAATATGAACCGGATTGGGCATAGGGGGCAGGGAACGGAATCACTGCTGGGGTGGGGGAAGGGAGAGGAGAGGGAGGAGGACAGTGACACACCGACCAGCGGGGGCAGCGCGAGGCTAGCCACAAATGCGGTCTGTTTGCATAAATCGGGCTTGTAACATCGAATGGCAGCCAAAGTCAAAGTCAAAGTTTTATTATGGGAATAGCTAATAAGCTGGTGCTTCTCTTGTCCCATAGGATGTTTACATAGATGAATCGTTACACATTAAAAAAGG